ATTTATTTATTTATTTTTATTTAATATTTTTATATATATAGAGGGCCACACAGACACCGAGATGATGGACTTGGTCTCCGAGATGGAGATGATGAAGATGATTGGCAAGCACGTAAACATCATTAATTTGCTGGGTGCCTGTACTCAGAACGGTCCTCTGTACGTTGTGGTAGAGTTCGCCCCGCATGGCAATCTGCGTGACTTCCTCCGGGATCACAGACCTACCTCGGGATATGAACCGACTATCGGACAGGAATCGAAGGAACGAAAGACCCTCACGCAAAAGGATCTGGTCTCGTTCGCTTATCAAGTAGCGCGCGGAATGGAGTACCTGGCTAGTAGGAGGTGTATACACAGGGATTTGGCTGCCAGGAACGTTCTCGTCAGCGACGAATACGTGTTGAAGATCGCTGATTTCGGTCTTGCTAGGGACATTCACTGTCACGATTACTACAGAAAAACGACGGACGGACGATTGCCGGTGAAATGGATGGCGCCGGAAGCCCTGTTCCACCGTGTTTACACCACTCAATCCGACGTGTGAGTATCCAACACAATAAGGATTCTTTCATCTTCAATCAAAGATCCTATATATTTAATTATTTTGATTTAATTATTTAAAAACTCTCACCATTTAATATTTCTTATTTCGCTTGCAGATGGTCGTACGGGATTCTGTTGTGGGAGATCATGACATTGGGTGGTACGCCTTATCCGTCTGTACCGTCCGTCGAGAAACTATTCCAGTTACTTCGAACTGGTCATCGAATGGAGAAACCGCCCTGCTGCTCGATCGAAATGTAAGACGCACCTTCTACACGTGATTCTGACTTTATAATACAGTCACTATATACGATTCAATCCTGAGAATTTATTCTTTGATTTGTTACTATAGATATATGCTCATGAGAGATTGTTGGAGTTATCAGCCAAACGAAAGGCCGACGTTTGTCGAATTAGTCGAGGATCTCGATAGAATATTAACGATAACAGCGAACGAAGTGAGTAGCGATATCCATATGATCTGCATGTCTATAAACAAGCATTTTTGGAGTAGTAGTAATAGACTCTTTTGATTGCATATGTATCTTTGATATCAGGAATATTTGGATCTCGGTCTGCCTCAGTTGGACACACCCCCATCCAGCCAAGAATCCAGTGAGGGGGAAGAGGATGGCGAAGAAAAATTTCCATATTTGCTGTGAATCATATACTCGCTGCGAGGAATGTCGCTTGGACATCGCTTACTTAGATGGCATAATAATCTGAACGACTCGCGAATGTAACCGAATAAAGTAGCAGCGCGAGTGAATCTAATGAATGTGACAATGGAAATAAAGAAACGAAAAGAGTGCGAACATGAGATATGTGAAGGATAATCGACTGAAGTAAGCGAATACGCCAAATAATATAAATCAGTATTGATCTATGTATCTCTACACGAGAATATAGAATTAAAGAAAAGCGCGGAACGATAGCATACATCAACAGTGTCAATATACATAAACGCACGCACACATGAGATTGGACATCCTATATTTACTATTTTTCTATTGGGATTGATAAATGTTACGTTAGAATTAAAAGGTAAAAGAAGGAATAAAGTTGAGAATACTCTGCGAAAACTCAGAGGAGACTGTCTTTTAAGCGTTAATGCAAAGCGGACTTGTATATCGCTTATATCTATATCTATAGATCCTATATCTATCTATATAGATTTATAGATATATTATAATTGTGCCATATAAATCAGTGCCTTACAAGGGTGTTGTCGAACATATAAACAGAGAGATAGTTTATCGTGATAGGATACGATACGGATATTTGTCTGTATTACAAAAATCACACGAATGGATATCAAACGTGGGCACGATATCGTGTTTTTGTAACTAGTCAACTGTGAAAATTGTACGTTTTTCTGTATCATAGTAGCTGGTAGATTTTTAGTGTTTTTACATGGTTAATTTTAGTGAACAACGATCATGGATTTTGTATATCATGGGCAATGTGTTCTGTGGCAATTTTGTAAAAAAAAAAAAACGGTCTACAGATACCTACATTGGAGATTAAACCTGAGGGGAAACGAATATAAGTTTTGTATCGAAGAAACGCATCGTTTAGAGAAAAGAATCCAAAGTATCACTGTAAGCCTTAGAGCTGTATCGATCGCTTATCGATATCGATTAGCGATAAACGTGTATAAATAGGAAAAATGCTTAGCGATAGATAATTTATTTCTCGTACATCAGTATCTCTTAAGTATATATTTTTAAGATATGTCTCTTAAGACCGACCCTTTTTGTAAAAAGTGACAATAACGAATTTATATATGCAATAAAAAACAACAAGTAGTTTTAATCCGCGGATTGTACATATCGTTTATTTAAACATTATTTGTTATCAGTATCTAAAGGTAGAATTAGTATTTACCTAAGGTACATAGAGTATATGTATGTATAGATTGTGTAAAGGAATTTCCGCACAAATGTGACTTTCGTCTCTAATAAAATCGATCAATCTGTACCCAAATAAAATAATATTGCGCTTTCCAAATTCCCTTGATAAAAAATTATCATATGTACAATCTCTCGATATATTAAATTTATTTCTGCATTTATAATTAGATGAGATTAAAACCCCGAATCTATTTAAAAATATTTAAATCACTTGAAAGTACAATAAAAAAGCTTATAACAAAATTAAACAAAAAATATTTTTCACGATATTAAATCAGAATTTTGACGTAAATTTATATATAGGAATAATTCGCGTAGACATTTGCGTTTGAATAGGCTTTTAATTTGTTTGATTATAATTAGATCGGGTTATTATAATCGTCATCCTCCCATCTTTCGATCTGAATCAGGATTGTGCCGTGGATTTGAATTGAAAGAATATAATATAGAATATAAAATATTTAATTTATTTAAAAAGACTATTTTATAAACTTTGAATAATTAAATAATTTCTGTATTTTCCTATTTTGACAACTATATTTTCTAGCTGGCAAAGTATAGCATCCGCCAACTGATTTCTATGGATTTAGCACGGACATGCACCAACCAGCCGTTTTACCATGGCACCAAAAAGTGAATCTGGCCATGTAGTTCCGCCGCCTCTAAAATAGATCCAGTTAGCGCTACTGTACTAGCTAGAAAAAGCGTCTTATGAAAAACGACGTGGCCTCTCTCAGGTTTCTATCTGGTTTCAGGTTTCAGTCCGTTTTGTTGTATAAGTCACATTTACACACTAAGTTGTTTTTGAATCAAATTTTTAGTGAAATTTTTAATTCCGCAAATCGAGATGTTACGAGATATGCGGGACATTCTCCATGCGGAACTTTGTGACGAGTGAAACTCGAGCGTTGGGTCCACTGAGTAATCACGCTCGAGATTGAGGTTAGAATCCGATAACCCACTTTTTGATCGCTAGTACGCTAAATCATATCCTGTCTTTCGGTATTAATTGAGAGCAGCAGTAAATTAATAATAATCTCGAATTTTTTCGCTTCACTCTCAATCATTGACAACCTTGGTCTTTTTTATTGATGTCTATGATGCAATTGGCAAATTTATTGTTACAGATCATAACATCTCTCTTTATTAAATGGTGATTATCGGTGCCATGGAGAGAAGGATAAAACTAAAAACCTTAAACAGTCACATAACATGCAAAATATGTCGTGGGTATTTGATAGATGCTACCACTGTCACAGAATGTTTACATACATTTTGCAAAAGTTGTTTGGTAAAGCATCTGGAAGAGAAACATACCTGTCCAACATGTCAAATTGTCATACATCAGTCGCATCCTCTTCAATATATCAGCTTTGACAGAACTATGCAGGATATCGTCTACAAATTAGTTCCTGATCTTCAAGAAAGTATGAATTTTATTTTAAATTCCAATTTGTCTTTATGTAAGAGGTGTATCTCTCTCTAGATATTAATAGAATATTTTTTTATTCAGATGAAATCAAAAGGGAAA